TTTAGTCGGATTTAGTCCTCCGATGAATTGTGGCTTATTAGTAAATGGTCGCCAGACTCAGTTAGGTTGTTGTCGTTTGAAACTTCGTGTCATCCGTGACGCAGGAAGTTTTGGACAAAAGTTCTCAAATAAACCGTCTGGTTTTTTAGTTGTCCAGAAATCTAGCTGTGTCGTAAGTCTTAAAGATGAGAAGAATGGAACGAACGGTGGTGGTCTTCGTCGTGGCTATTAAGATATGTCAACAGTAAGTACCCCTATAGTTAGTCAAAACTTTAGAGAAGCTTCAGCGCCTATGAGTACACTACATTTCTAGAAAAACTAAGACTGGAAGGAGGCACTGGGACGCTATAGTAAACGAAGCGGCGTATGAACATTGTGTTCTTGTAAGGTGCTCTTAACTGTCGAACGTAGAACAGGGTTAGAAGACGCCTCCGACATATGTATGCACTACACTCTTTCTTGTTTCGAGTTCACTTAACTGCCTACCCGTATTCCTGATCTCTACTGGGTGTCAGGTTCTCCAACAAGGTGGTCTTATGAGGACGTAAACTATGGTAGAAGTTGTACATGGGTAGTCAAGTATCTGATCAGTTGAACCTCTGGTGTTTTCTTTTCGTGTTTGGTGTAGGTTACTTGGATTTAATAACTGGTGTAGGAGGTGGTATGGGAAGTGTCTAGGAAGTAAACTTTGTAGACGGCCACGTTGTCGTTGGAAGGATGGAGGTCGAGATTAAAGGAGTCGGTTGAATAGGTTGCGAAGAGCAAAGGGGCTCTCTAGTAAGTTGGGCTATAGTTTGGGTAGCGGTCGGTTTGCTTCTCGTTAACGTGCGGGGTATGGAACGCGTCTTGGCCACTATTCACGCTGACCTGCTCAATTTCATGGATCGTACTAATTCCAGTGAGCTCTTTCTTACGTCTACAATAGATAAGAGCGATGGAATTCATCACCCAGAATAGCACGTCAATGTGGTTAAACGTTTAAGAGCTAGCAAACCGTCTCTTTGACTAAAAGTTTAAAGTCCAAGGCCGGGCGAAGAAGTACACGTTTGACTCCGGTAACGCCGGGCCAAGCATGTGAAAACGTGATTCAATGTAGGGGGAGTGATAATGTAACAGCAGGTGAGAATTGTACAGATAGGAGTGGTAATAACCAGGTTTTCATAATAATCTGGCCTCAAATATGTGAAGACAACTCTTCGCCCTCCATCACCTTAGTAACCTCTTGGGATACCAGTTTCAGACGTTTAGTACAGTACAACAACGTCCTAATCCACTCAAGTTTATATTTAAATAACGAAAAGCAACAAGTACCAGTGTCCCATAATGTTCTGGCTCCTCCAGAACCCATTTATACTATTATTATTCTATAGCCTTTGTCTAAATTCTCCCACCACCTTAACAAATGTATCTATTCTTACTAAGCCCATCAACCCAAGCTTGGCCTGAAGGGCCCCAGACTAATTCCAAAAATTGTGACCCTGTGATATACACCACAACTCCATCGCACGCGGCAGTCACGGCGCGGTCGTCCGGGATGTGGCCAATATCATAAACATTCATGAATGAACATATGTGTAACTGACTTGAATAGCCAAGGATCTTGGTCCTTACGGTATAACTGTTAATGCATATGCTCCCGGAGCTGTGAATACCCCGATGCGTGAGTCCTTAATCATAGCGTATCTCACACCGGAGGCAAGCCCATGGGAACACAGAGCCGACGTTCGAAAGGGTGGAACTTGAACAATTCAGTTCCTTTGAGCCACCGGTTTTCTTACTATCCCTTTATAATTGGCTTCCCATGGGCCTGCCTCTGGTGTCAATGAACTAAATACACCTCTGATTAAAAAATTCACACTTTTCTTACTGCATATACATATTTGTAGTTACAAATTCTTTCAGTGATCCTAGAGATAACTCTGAAAAGGTTGGTTTTCTCTTCCTGTACAATATTCTTAGGAGGTATCCTAACTATGATTCTCTCCTTCCTTGTTCTCAGTGGGCCAATGCTAGCCCACTTGGCAGACTGGGAACACCAGAAGACGTTGCAGGATTAGTGGCATTTTTGGCTTCGAAAGATGCTTCATGGATCACCGGTAAGTCGACTAATGTTCAATCCCCTTGAACAAGTTCCTTGTCTTACTAGGGACCGTGCTAAATTTATAGGACAAACGGTAAGTAAAGATGTTGGGATTTATTTAGTCAAAATCTCTAATGAATCACCGATCCCTGATGCAGTATGGTGTCAATGGTGGACTGCTCTGTCATTAAGAAAGGTGACATTTCGTTGAGGAGGAGACAGTTCACTTGGAAGTATTTGCTTTGATGCATCTGTATACAACCATTGTCGTGTTACATACATACATACACGGTCGTTGCTATAAAAAGTGTGGCAAACTTTACGACAACATTCAATCAACGACGCAAGCAGGATTTGAACCTGCCCTTAGAGAGGAACAGATAACGTGTCGCCGTAAGTTGTAACCACTTGGCTATTGCGCCCTCGTACGTCGAAACCTCCAGCAATGCTCCGACACAAACTCATTTCAAAAGTCGACAATGGATCCGTACGCGTCGCATCATAACTTGACTGAATAATATGATGTCGATTGAGCCACTTCTCCGCACCTCTCATCGAAACCCGATTTCTCGAACAATACAATACTGTTTCTTGAGTGGGATGTTTAGTCTGTCACCATTCTTACAGCTGTGTTTGGGCCCTGACTTGACATTTTGAGAAGGAGAGACTGTCATTTGATAATTTGCGCAAGTCATGAAGCTTCAAATTGAAACCTTGGCTCGACTTGTTGACCACAGTACAACCTTGTTAATGCTAGGCCCGCTTCGCTCCGCCGCCGCCCACAAATGACTGGCCACTAATCAACCAAGTGACCAGTTAGGTAAAGTATTTGAATTTAGACACTCAAGAGAAGTTGATAAGGTTCATACCCAAGCATGTGTATATAAGTACTTACAATACTTACCATAGTTAACATCCGCATTCTTTCTCGAGCTCGCTCAATCATGCTAGGTGCTTTGACTCGTCCAGTCGCACTTATCACCGGTTCTGCGCAAGGTATGGGGCGTGCGATTGCTCTCCGTTTGGCTGGCGATGGGTTTGATATCGGGTTGAATGATCTCTCGGGGAAACGAGAAGCGTTGGATAAGTTGGCTGAGGAAATTAGAGCTGGAGGTAAGAAGGCTGCTGTCGCACCGGCAGATGTTTCAAATGAAGGGTCTGTGAAGGGCATGGTGGAGAATGTGGTCAATGATTTAGGTTCATTGGATGTGGTTTGTGCTTTTCTTTTGTGGTCTCCAAGTTGACTAGTCCATGAACGGTACATGTTGAAGATGGTATCAAATGCAGGAGTATTCTGGTGGAACAACCTCTTGGACAGTGGGTCATCTCTAGTCCTTATGCCCATCCGCCAATTCATTGAGCTTTATTCTTTCCCACATCACGTATACAGCCTCCGCAGAAGATTGGGACAAGATGCAAGCTGTCAATTCTCGTGGAATGTTCCTGTGTTACAAGTATGCGGCGAAACAAATGGTATCGCAAGGTCGCGGAGGAAGGTTAGAATCGAATATCTTTACACCACATGAGTATCCGCAACTTCGAAGAGATTGAAAAACTGATTGATTCTCCCATGAACGGCAACTGTATAGAATTATCGGTGCTGCTTCTGGTGCTGGCAAGCAAGGTAAGAAGAGTAGAAATTTTGAACGCTCTGTCGATCTAGAGACTCGTTAACTTTTTGGTCTGAATAAACTTTTGAAAACAGGTTTTGAAGGACGCAGTGCTTACTGTGCTTCAAAGTTTGCTGTTGTTGGATTGACTCAGACCGCTGGTAAATGATTATTCGGTGTTAAGTAGCCTCCCGATTTAGGCTGATTTACTGACTTGAATGGCCAAAGATCTCGGTCCTTACGGTATAACTGTTAATGCATATGCTCCCGGCGCTGTGAATACCCCGATGCGTGAGTCCTTAGTTATAGGTTGTCTCACACCGAAGGCAAGCCCATGGGAAGCCAGCATGGATGTCGCAGTTAAAGGGTGGAACTTGAACAATTCAGTTGAGCCACTGGTCCTTCTACTATCCCTTTTAGATCAAAGAAGGAGGCCATCGCTTCGCGTGGCAGGTACGAGGCCTAAGTTAATTAATGCATGACCGGTACTAAGTTTTGTGCCGGACCGGATGCCCAAAGGGGATAGCATCTAGTACGGCACAGCCACTGTCCGCGAGTCCAGGATAAGTAAGGGGACGAGTCCCTAAAGGGCCTCGTAATCAGCTTCCCATGGGTCTGCCTCTGGTGTCAATGAGCTGAATACACCTCTGATTAATTATAATAAATTCACACTTTCTTACTGCATATTTGTAGTTACAAATTCTTTCAGTGATCCTAAAGCTGCCTCTGAAATGGTTGGTTTTTTCTCTTCCTGTACAATATTCTTAGGAGATGTCCTAACCATGATTCTTCCCTACCTTGTTCTCAGTGGGCCAAAGCCACCCCACTCGGCAGGCTGGGAACACCAGAAGACATCGCAGGATTAGTGGCATTTTTGGTTTCGAAAGATGCTTCATGGATAACCGGTAAGTCGATTAATGTTTAATTCCTTTTGAATATGTTCCTTGTCTTACTAGGGATCGCGCTAAACTTATAGGACAAACAGTAAGTAAAGATGTTGGGATTTCTTTAGTCAAAATCTCTAATAAATCACCAATCCTTGATGCAGTATGGTGTCAATGGTGGAGTGCTCTGTCATTAAGAAAGGTGTTTCATGACATTTTGTTGAGGAGGAGACAATTCTCTTGGAAGTATTTGCCTCAATGCATCTATATACAACCAGTGTCATGTTTACAAGTGCAGAAGCCAACATGTACGTGGTTGTCAGTTACTTCTGGCAACACTTTCCGCAAACTTTATGTATAACCTCATTATACAAGTGGAATTCAAACTCTTCTCCCATTTCAATTTGTATTTTGTTTCTCCTCCAAGTTTCATAATTGCAAGACACTTACCCGTGTTAGACACGGTCGTTGCTATAAAAAGTGTGGCAAACTTTATGACAACATTTCAACGACATCAGCAGGATTTGGACCTGCGCCCCCAAAGAGGAACAGATAGCGGGGTTCGAATCTGTCCCCGTAACCACTTGTGTCCAATATGCGGAATATTTTTTATCTGTTCTGGTGCAAACAAGCAACCGTTGGAACTTTTTAATAAACATATGAGCACTGAGTACTTCGAAGTTGCTTCTAATATGTCCGCGCATCAAAGGCATTCCATCCCTTGTCCGTTATGGAAGTCTTTATGTCTCTTCGGCATATATATGTTTCTTTTTTGTGTTTGTGAGGCCAAGCCCTGTTTTGATGTAACAAAAAAAAGTGTACTAATGGTCACCAAAAGTGTTGGTCCCCTATATTTTCAAACATATCCCATGAACCACTTGACATTTTTGCTTCAAACAAGTTTTAGAGTCAATCTATAGATTATTTCTCAAAATGTGAGCCCAAAATCAAGACCCTCCTCAATCAGTTTTTTTCATAATAGGCAATTTCAAGAAAATCTGTTTTTTCCAAGTTGATAAATAAAGCTTTTCAAGAAAATCTACTTAAGCCATCTGAAAGAGAAAGATTAAAAACAGGAGGCCCAATTTACCCCATGCCAATAGTTCAAGATCTGAGGAAGATATTTAAGTATCAAAGATGAGCAGATTTTCTCAAAATTGCCTATTATAGAATGATCTCTTTGAGGAGGTTTCTGTTCTTGGGCTCAAATTTTCTGGAGTAATCTATAGATTGATCTTACAACTTGTTTCAGCCAAAAATATGGATTGATTCATGAGATACATATGTTTGAAAATAAGTATGTGGGACCAACACTTTTGGTGACCATGAGTAAACCGGCTGTCAGGTGCCACCCATAAATATATTTTTTAACGATTTCTACACTACGAAGGCACGATCGGCACGCACGTCTGGGCAACTAGTGCTTGGGAAGCTAGTCAAGAAGCCAGCCAGGAAGCCAGTTTTGAGTGCCTCTGAGTATAGAGGGATCAATATTCTTTGTAAAAAATTTTTTGTTTACTAAATATAGATTACCCTTGTATCGGCTCATTTCGGCTGGCTTAAACAACTCTGAAATTTGCCAGATGTAATTAAAAATTCTTACAGCTGTATTTGGGCTCCGGTTTGGCATTTTGGGAAAGACAGACTGTCGTTTGATAACTTGCGCAAGTCAAAGAAGGCTTGAAGCTTCAAAGTTAAAACTTTGGCTCAACTTGTTGACAACAATCTTGTTAATGTTCGGCCCTCCTCACTCCGCCACCGCCCCACAGATGACTGACCATCAACCATTCTGATCAACTTCTAAGTAGCCAGTTAGATACAGTATTCGAATTTACACGCTCAAGAGAAGTTAAAGCGATATAAGGTTCATACCCAAGCATGTATATATAAGTACTTACAATATTTAGCTATAGGTAACATCTGCATTCTTTCCCGAGTGACCTCAATCAAGCTAGGCGCTTTAACTCGTCCAGTCGCACTTATCACCGGTTCTACGCAGGGTATAGGGCGTGCAATTGCTCTTCGTTTGGCTGGCGACGGGTTTGATATTGGGTTGAATGATCTCTCGGGGAAACGAGAGGCATTGGATAAGTTGGCTGAGGAAATTAGAGCTGGAGGTAAGAAGGTTGCTGTTGCACCGGCGGATGTTTCGAATGAAGGATCTGTGAAGGGTATGGTGGAGAATGTGGTCAATGATTTAGGTTCATTGGATGTGGTTTGTGTTTTTCTTTTGTGGTCTCCAAGTTGACTAGTCCATGAACTGACGAACATGTTGAAGATGGTATCGAATGCAGGAGTATTCTGGTGGAACAACCTCTTGGACAGTGGGTCATTTCTAGTCCTTATGCTCATCATATGTGATTCATTGAGCTTTGTTCTTTCTCACATCATGTATACAGCCTCCGCAGAAGATTGGGACAAGATGCAAGCTGTCAATTCTCGTGGAATGTTCCTGTGTTACAAGTATGCAGCGAAGCAAATGGTATCACAGGGCCATGGAGGAAGGTTAGAATCGAAGATCTTTACACCATGACTTCGAAAAGATTTCAAAACTGATTGATTCCCCCATGAACTGTAACTGTATAGAATTATCGGTGCTGCTTCTGTCGCTGGCAGGCAAGGTAAGAAGAGTAGAAATTTTGACGCTCTGTCGATCTTAAGATCCATTAACTTTTAAAATAGGTATTGAAGGAAGCAGTGCTTACAGTGCTTCGAAGTTTGCTGTCGTTGGATTGACTCAGACCGCTGGTAAATAATGATATTATTCAGCGTTAAGTAGCCTCTTGATTTAACTGACTTGAATAGCCAAGGATCTTGGTCCTTACGGTATAACTGTTAATGCATATGCTCCTGGGGTTGTGTATACCCCGATGTGTAAGTCCTTGATTATAGGGTATTTCATTAATAAATACACTTCTGATTATTCAC